GGAATTATTTCTCCCCTCATTTGTTACTACTACCTTTTTTTCTTGGTTAACCAACAAGCCTGGTGTACATGCATATGCAGCACAGGGATTCTCACAACAGCCAATACTGCGATTACCGCTGCCCCATACGGGAACGTACATGTTGTCTAGATTGGTCTGCAGACAAGTGGACGTCCACGAGCAGTGACCCCCGTTCGGGCACTTATGAATCAACTCGGTCCATCCAACCAATCCACTACCCACAATCCCCAATCGGCAAGGGCGGCAAGGTGGGCTTTCTGAGCTAGACTCGGAGCCCCGAACGGGTTATCAAACCACCCAGCAGTGCAATAACCAGTAGCCATTCCAACCGCCTGGCCTCCAACTGCCTAGCGCTGATACAGTCGACCGGAGCCCTCAGACCCCACATGAAGCTAAAGATCGAGTGTAACCCACAAGGTCAGCCGAAACGTACACCCTCCCATGGGGAAGATGTCATGGACTCAACCAAGCGCAAGCACTTGGCCAAGCAGGGTTGATCCCACATAAGTGATCATTGGCGTCCAGTACCCTTTCAGCATTAGATCACATAGCCCAACTGGAGACCCTTGTTTAAAGGGCCTCAACGCCAGTTTACACAATACGCCGAGATGCAAAGTATTTGGGACAACCACAAAGGGTCGGTGTCAATAGTCCAGCATCTTTACGGCTGCTTCCTCAGAAAGATCGTCTAGGGCCGCCTTCAAGAAAGTTGGAAATCTATATCCTATTCAAGGTATTTTAATTTATCTACGCTCAGTCGACGGGATTCAGACTTAGAGGCTTTCAGTCCTAATCTATCAGAGTTGCTTACCGCATCCATGGCCTTGCGACCATGAACACGTACCATTATTCTGGACCGTGCTTGGCACGGTACCTTAAACGTTCGGAAAGGCTTTTAGCCGCAGAGCTGTAAACAACGCCACGTTGCCTGACGGGACCACGAAGAGGCAGCTGCCACCACAACCCCCAGAAGGCTCTATTCATGCGCGTCACCTAATACATCCATTCAATTAGATGACGAGGCATTTAGCTACCTTAAGAGAGTCATAGTTACTACTATGTGACCAGTGGCGTTCAACCCCATATCAGATGTAGGCAGTAACTACCAAAATCTTTAGATCGATTAAAGTTAAACATTAACACTGTTGGATGCAAGCTCAATGGTCTAAAGCTTAAGCATTCATGTGCTAGAACTAAACGTTCTGGGTTCGATTCCTGCGGGTATCAGGAGTCGTGGATGAACACCACTGATTTCATCACTAAGTATGCTTGAAACTATTACGGGTTCACCTTAGTCGATAAACGCGAACGAGACAATGAACCAGCGTCCAGGTAGGCTACTATGATCCGTTGACTCGAAACGGCTAAAGAGAAGTTTTGATATAGCGTAGAAAGTATATTCTACAAACACCCAGCAAGCACAATATAATCAAGCACACAAATCTCATTTATTTATACATCATAGAAACGTCCTTGGGACAGTCACAAAAATAGCACACTAAAATACACAGCAGCCAATCACAGCGATTTATTTTCCTGATGGGAAACGAAATCTCAAGATAAACCAATCATCCCATACTCGCAAACATGAAATTCAAAATTAAGGCATTTATTCGTCAAGCAAGTTCTGCGCATCTAACATCCCCAACACATACCTAGGACGAAGTAGCCGTCTTTCACAGCTTCCAGGTTTAGTCTAACAATGATTGATTTTATATGCTTTCAATAATGACATACATTATTGCATAGTCATATTCGCTTAGGATGAGACAGGAACACTCGACAAAAAGATCAATATATATATATATATTGATTTTTTAAAATTTGCCTATTTTTTTCTCTTTTCATAGTCATACTTTACCTCAATGGGAACCGGAGAATATACCACAAAATGAAATGGATATACATTTGCGTAAATTACGTGAAGACCAATTGAATAGTCTGCGTGAACAAGCAATTAATACAAGAGAAACTGTTTCAGAAATTGACGATGCATTGAAAGAGTTGAAATCGTATCGTGAAACCATTTTACATTTAGCCATAGAAGTAAGAAAAAAAATGCGATTTTCCTTTTTTTCTCTTATATAAAAATATTTTTTCCATGTCAATTTGAAGTGATGGCATTTTGTTCTGTGAGTTGATAGTTTTCGGTTAAGGAAGAGTCTTTGATTGTTCTCTTCTGAACAACAATGGCATCATCATGAATTTCAGATGGAAGAAGTGAAGTGTTCCAATTTCTCCACCTGTCTGACTGGTAGCTGGTGCTGCTGACCTTGATCCTGAGTGGTCGTCATTGACCTTGAACCTGAATTGATTTTATATCAATGCATACAGACAACTAGGGACATGCATTCCATTGGAAATACTGGATAGAGAGAGTACAAATAGAACACTAGAGAATGTTTGAGATACTTAGCACTCAAGTTAATCAGCAGTCAATAAAACACATTGACATTGATCTAATTTATCAAACATTTAGAAAAATAAACGTAGACAAGCTTAGGATCAAGAAACAGATCAAAGGAGAATACAATCAAAGTAAAGAGGTAGACAATGACAGGTTTAAAGTCAATATCAGCGGAACAAGAGTGATGTCAAGTGGACAAGCTATGAGTCATACACGTGAAGAACTTGGAATATTTCACTTCTTCTACCCAAAGTTTTGTGCTGATAATGTTTTGTTCAGAATGCTCCCACAACCAAAATATCCAGCTCAGAGAACGAAACTCCATCCCAATCATGCCCCTGAGCTGCTACAAATTTTCTCCACGATCTCAACGTCAGTTTGACTAAACCTCGATAAGTTAGTGTATTGTTCGTTAATAACTTTAAAACTATTCAACAATGTGAGACTAATTCTTTCTTTGTGGAAAGAAACACTCTTTATGTCATCCATTCTAAGTATCTGCTTAGAGCCATGTGCTGTTTCCGAAGGAACCTGAACGCGGAATTTAGATTAGCGTAGGTCTTAAAGATCTGGGAGCGTGACCACAGAGGTCAAGGGAAAACTGCTTGAGGCTGGTCACACAGTCTTTTTATTGAGAGATTTTGCAATGTTAGCTGCGCTCTTCGAATGCCATTATCATCGGAGACAGAATTCGTGAGTTTAAGTGGGGTGTGACATTTTCAGCGTAGACCTCTTCTAACCCATTCCTTCCTTGTGAGAAAGCAGCATCGTTGAACAGGCTAGTTGTTCGAGGGGAATACCTTATTGCTGTCACACCTTTCTATAGTCAGCAGTACGATCCTCCCAATCTTACCGTCCTGCAATCGACCTACCTGGCATGGTAGAACCTACAAGAACATATGCTCGATCCATTACATGTCGAGTGAGTCATCGCGGCAGATGATGATATTATTGACAAAATTATCATATTTTTACAAGAAGCTTTTTTAGTTCAATATAAATGAAAAACTCGTTACTGTTAGCCATAAAAAATCTATTGATAATCGATTGTGATGGAGTTTCATTCTCTGAACTGGATATTTTTGTGAGTTGTGACAATAAAACTGCATCACAATCATCCACCTGATCTGCTACAAATTTTCTTCACCATCTAAAAATGCCAGTCGAATTCTATTCAACTAACAGTACAGTATAACCGAGAAATCAACTAAGTCCTCATCACGATGAATTATCGCACCTGACATACATATGAGTTTGTTCTCACTTAATTTGGTTAAACTCTTTTGATTAACTTATGTAATAGTCATTTGTATGGCTACTACTTATTTGTACCAGGGAGCTTTTGTTATTGTCATGTTTGGATGAGCAGGTATGGTTGAGCACTGCTCACCACCGACACGTACAGATTCATTCTACTCGCTGTAATGTTAGCCTCTTAAATAATTCGATGTCTCAATCATTTCCTATGTAAATATATACGTACATTTTAAACATACTCGCTCACTTGCTCGTTCTTCAACATTCGTATATCATTTTCGTTTCGTGTGCCTATGGTTTTATTATTTGTGTGTGATTTTAGTGATAAATGTAATCAACGCTTCGTATTAATCTTCCGGACGTTACGTAGTAACGGTTGTCAGGACGAGTACTAGTAATACGGAGTCTAACAATATATCGAATACCAACCGCCACAGAACTGGTGAGCCTGAATCCTCCACATAATTGGTCAGCCGGACTTTGAATATAACGCAGCCACACCCACCACAATATATTTCTTGATAGGACGGATTATTTCCTGTCTTTTGTGTTCAACAGTCGAACAGAGTTCGACATTCTATGAACGATGTTAGAAAAGAGCTGAATCTGGTAACAGCTAACCCTCACCAAACTAACTACGTAAGCGAGAACACAAGGGGTGGAACAGAGAGTCTGTTTGACTACTGAATAATTTACATAAACACTCATATATACATTCCTTTTCCTGAGAAAATGAATCCTATTTCCTGTCCAGTGACATAATACATTTGTCCGTTCGGATATGTCTATTTGTCATCAAATCACTCTTGTAGTTCGACCACTTCTGATTGTCTCTTCATATCGTTTTTATTTCGTTCATTGATTGAGTAATTCAAGTAACAGATCCCTAGATTGGATAATTTTTCTTCGGCCGCCTGAAATGTTTAACATTCCTCTTTCCTATAGTAAACAATATTTTTTACAAATCTGTCGGTAGGAAAAATGTTTTAACACTACTTGTATATGTCAATATCTTTGTCTATTTTATGCATAGCCACAAATGAGTATACCCGATATTATCATATGGATGTTATGCGGTGGTAAACGTACTGCATATCATAGAATACCAGCTCATGAAGTATTATACCATGACAATGAAGATTATCGTGGATTAAAGTGTGGCACAGCACAAACAATCAATTTAAAAGTGAGTTTAGAAATGTTTAGATATGATCATAGGACACTTATTTATTCAATGTGATATGCTGGTCAGTCGATGTGATTGAAAGTCTTACGAATTAGCCTTGCTCGATAAACGGAATGCAGATCAATGATGCAGTGACACGATACGCTATTCTAATCTTGCTGCCGCCCCCGCGCCCTGCAAACTAGAGCAAGAAGTCTTAATAAGGCGTAGAGAATGTTGTATTCTACAAGCACCTAGAAAATACGAGGTTGTTAAGCGCACAAATCAAGTTTATTTAAACAATGATAGAAACACTCTTGGTGAGAGCCATAAATTAGCGCACTAAAATAATCAATCCGTCAACCAATGACGGTCAACGACTTCCCAATGGGAAATGTAAGCTGTCAGTCAACTAAGCGTCTCTTGGTGCAAAAATACAGAAATTCATTACTAAGTGAGGACCTTGTCCGAGTGACTTCTGGGGATCTAAAATCCCAAACATAATGTGAAGATGGTGTTGCTTCTTCGCATCACAAACTAACTTTACCAGAAAAACGATTGAAAACCAGGAGAGTACTAGAGCTTTTTTTGATTCTGTTTCACAGTCAAAATACCTTTATCATGGTCACTTAATTTGGGAGACTGAATTGAGGACCGTCTTGTCTTGTACAGGCCACGTGATCTTCAGATCATAAGTCAGAATTCAGTCCATCTCATGACCTTTTATTTCATTTACAATATAATTGAATTTCTACTTAATTTACAACTTCTCATTAAAACTTGGGTAGTTTGTTTCTGTTTTTATGATGACTGTGATCGACTCTGTGGACATGATAAAAAGTGATTATTACTTCATTCAAAGTTGAATTGCTCGATGAAGTAATATTGTCTTTTAGAGATTGGACGTTAAAATACAGAATAATCACAAACAAAATAATTTTTTAGGTTCTTGACAAAAAAAACATTGGTTTATTAATAGTGTGGTGTACGCTACTTATGTTCACATAAGTAGTATATGATATCAAACATATGAAATCAAACGTCTGACAGAAAAAGATCGAGAAGGAAAGAATGAGAACAGCAGGTGATTTGTGTAGGTAACGTAAAGTAGTGAACTGAAGTCTAAACAGTCTAAATGAAAGAACACTGAAATCTGAAACAAATAAGGATTAGTTTTGCAAATGATGATTTCACGTGAAAGTTTTGTACATATATGCTTAACAACTCTGTAATATTCGCTTAAATATATGTGTTGATGTCCTCACGTGAGTTTTCGTGCACAACAGTAGGAGTAGGTTGAAAGAAAGCTAGGAGCGGCCAAACCAACTTGATTCAGTCATGTTGGTAAGGGTAGACTGCCTGGTTGAGCTCAACGAGATGTTATTAATCGATGGTTAGACACCTTGAATGAAATAACTTAATAGTATTGGCTATGGCTCAAGTGCATTCATTCTTTGTGTTCTCCCAAATTCTAATCTCAACTCCTCATAACCTTGATCCTTCTTGTTTCAAATCTATTTCACTGGATTATACTTCTTGAATAATATCTTCGGACCGCGATCTTTCCAATTATTGCTCATACTGTGGTGCGAGCTACTTATAAGTAGTATATGACGTGAGTGTCAACGTAATGTCTGGCAGCAGAAGATGGGGGAAGATCAAGAAAGGAAGAGTTAGAACACAATGGAATTTGTATGAAACGCATGAATAGTGACAATGGATTGATGTTTTGCAACAGAAACAGTCCAGTTCGATATGATGGACTGATATTTTGCAAATTAACCGTTTACGATATGGTTTTCCGATTTTACTGAGTAACTCTGTAATTTCGTTGAAAATAATCCGGTTGCCCCACCTGTGATCTCGTTCACTACAATACTTGTACTACCTCAACTACTATAAGATTTGAACTGACAATTGAGCCTCTGTACTCATGTGATATGGTAACCTAAACTTATGTACGTATGCACCAAGTTCTACGTTTCAACTAAATACAAACATTTAGTTGAAACGTAGAAACGTTGGTGCATACTGTACATTCAGTTTAGGGTTACTCATATCACAGTGAGTTACAGAGGCTCAATTGTCAGTTCAAATCTTAATAGTAGTTGAGGTAGTACAAGCATATTGTACGTGACACGAAAGTATCCACACGGTGGGGCAACCGGATTTTTTCGACGAAATTACAGAGTTACTCAGTAAAATAGGAAAACCATATCGTAAATCGTTAATTTGCAAAATATCGTCCATCATATCGAACGCGACTGTTCCTGTTGCAAAACATCAATCCATTGTCACTATTCATGCGTTTCATACAAATTCCATTGTGTTCTAACTCTTCCTTTCTTGATCTTCCCCCATCTTCTGCTGCCAGACATTACGTTTCACTCGACGTCATATAACTACTTATAAGTAGCTCGCACAC